TTTTAACAAGTGGGAAGCGGACATGCTGGAAGGTCTGAATCCAGATTCAAGCAGCTCTCTCCAAAGCTCCTGTCTTAAGGGGATGAAATGCTGGCTTTTCTCTCCAAAGCTCCTGTCTTAAGGGACTGAAATGCTGGCTTTTTTTTTCATCTGGCACCTCCCTCCCCTGTCTGCAAAATGGAACACAAATCTGAAAGCGAGAGCTCAGTGAGCTCCAGAGGTGCTGGGCTTAGCAAAGGGGAACACACGGATCAGACACGGCTGTTACCAAAGGCTCCCAGGCTCAGCACAGGTAGCTCCTGCTCTCCCTGTGCGTGGGGTACAGCTGTTCCTCAGGCTCTGGGATGCAGGCTGGCAGCTCCTACAGCCTCTGCCTGTATTCCCAGGCTTCTGCAAGGGCTTACTCACAGCAGCTGATCAACAGCAGGGAGCTGTTCTCCATCAGCTCCTGTCTCACTTACATGACACAGGCCCCCTGACTCCCAAATATTCCCTGCTCTAAAGGCTGAGACACCATTATGAAATAAAAAGCAGCTTTATCCACAATAGATATTCTGCACTAATGCTCTACCAGAATCCTCACTCCGAAGGTTCTCCCTACACTGACAGGTCCCAGTTTGCTGTGTCTCCGGATAACTGATTTTTACCTCCCTGCGCTTCATCTACTGCCTTAGTGGTAACTCTGACCATAATCCCTTATGAACCCCTGAGGAAAAGCTACATCTCTTAAATCCCTGTTGATGCAGTAGAGAGTACCTTCTGGTTTCCCATCTTCAGGCTTTTACAGAACACAGACCTTTACACCACAGTGTCACCAAGAAGCACAACACTAACACCCTGCCTGTCCTTCTGACCTAGTCTACAAAAACTGCAGCACTTCAGCAGCCCCTCCTCACTCCCTGGAATCCTCCTCTCAAATCCCCTGCAAGTTCCTTCAGTGTTCAGCAAAGACAGGAAAAATCCACTGTGCCAGACATCCTCCCAGTTCACCAAGTCATTTGTACTCAGGATTTCCTCTGTTGAACATTCTTACATGAAGCTACTGTGAGTTCTGAATGGTCAAGGTAACAGATCCTTTCACTGAGCAGTTTTCATGGAATATAAAAGGCATTTACAGCCTGCTGCTGCTGCTGAGGGCTTTGTGAAAGCAGGAGCTCAGAGAAGTGATTGAAGTTAAATTTTCAAAGCCCACTTCACAGGTAAGAGAGGCTTTCAGAGCTCCGAGAACAAGGTCACCAAACAAACTGTTTACACAGAGTAACAAGGAGGGAACAAATGCCTTATTTGACCACCTGTGTTATTCTTCCCCTCAACAAAACCCCATGTGGAAGGAAGGTCAGCAGAGCCATGGGCAGGGGTACACGTGGCATCATAGTTAAAACAAAATACAGAGTCTCTTAGATCAACTGGATCAAGCGATAAGGCAAATCTCCCAGCCCAAATCACCAGGAAAGATAAATAAAAACAGCACTTCTGTGTCACAGGGATGTTGTCAAGTTTGTTGTTATCTAAACCACCAGTTTCTCAGATAGTGTTGTCAAAAACAAGCATCCCATAGGAACACATGCTGTGAGCCACTACAATAATCTGTGACCAAGAGCAAGAGCAGAATTCACTCAACACTAGGAGAAAAAATTCCCCTTTAGTGCAAACCCAGTTACTCTTTCCCAGTTTGCATCTAACTGCTCATATGCCATCACTGATCCCAGAAACAGATTTTCTTTTAAATAAATGGGCTCACTGCTTTTCAAACACACGTTCAGTGTTTCTGAGTAGAGCCAAATATAATGACAACATAAAGACAAAAGACACCCCGTGCAACCTTATGCTTCATTCTCCCTGCAGTACCAGGTTTAACTTCAATTTTCTGTAGCTGTAATCAACGCCAAAGGTGCCTCACAGGCCACGCATTGCTTGAGACTGACAGGCACAGGACCACCAGACAGGCAGCCCTGTTGTGCTCCCACTAAATTTAACTCCATTTGTGGCTACCTGCAGACTGACAGGATCTTTGTGAGTCTGGTCAGATTGCAGCTCTCTCCTTTGTCTGAGGCTGAAAATGCACATGGTGTATTAAAACAAGGTCTTCACTGTAAAAGCACGTACAAACAGGTTGCCATGGAGGGTACTGAATTTCAAATAAATGCCCTCCTAGTTCCTCTGTCATCCACATATCTGTCCACATATTCACGTGCTTAAATGAGATTTACTCTGTTCTCATCAAGGTATGAGCTACCTTGGACTACTTCACACATAGCAAGGAATAGGACATGCAGCCACAGAATTACCCTGGGTACTGAATATGCTGTAGGGTCACAGCTGAGCTTGTCCCCATGATAATTTATTCACTTGTGTGCAGTTGATGCATAAGCATGAGGTTAAAAACATTAAAAAAAGACTAAAATACAGTGAATACCACTGGACTAGTTGGAATAGGTGAGGTCAGCACTGTGTGCTATCTGACTTTAAAAGTTTGCCTTCTGACATCCTTTTTACTTTTTAATGTGTCTTTTTCACATTTTTAAAAATGTCATAGGTGTTTTGCACTTGCTCATGCAGATACCCATTATTCTGAGCTGTGACAAGACTTTAAAGTGCATCTGCTATTGCACCTAAAGGAGAAATAGCATGCTCTCACTCCCATCTACTTAACATATGCTATTATAACACACAATTCTTTTGTGAAAATGCAAACAGAAAATGGCCAGATATGACACATATTTATGAAGCCCCTCCTGGTGAATCTGATTTCTCCTGCCACACTCCCTAACACAAGGCATCAGGCAGGACCTCACATTGCTTCAGCCTCAGCACATCGACTTACCAGAGGAACTGCACCGTCCAATCCAAGTCAAACACTGATCTGAGCTGCTGAAAGGAAGGAGCTGTGCTGGCCCCTGTCCACAGCACGTGCGCTGGCGACTCACACTTCCCCTTGGTGCTCAGCCAGCGCCCCAGCCTGCCTGAGCAGGAACCATCTGTGGGGATGAAAGAGCACCTCAACTTCCAAATTTACTTCCAGCCTTGAGAGCAGCCAGACTCCTCTCTCCTCCAGGAACCACTCAATAATATAGTACACGGCTTCCTGAACGGGCAGGCTCTGCCGGGGGCAATCCCTGTGTCCGTGTGCTCTGGGGTTTCTCGTTTTCACTACACTTTGTCTCGAGCATTCTGATCACAGACCGGATTCAGTGGTGGATAATAAGGCAATTCCTATGAGAACACTTCTAAGGTGTTTGCGTCCTGGTTGGTCACATACTGCTACACAGGTCTGAGTAATGGTAATGGCCATAATTAGCTCTTATACAGCACTTGCCTCGTTATATAATTTTTCCTAAGATACGTAGGTGGAAAGACCTTTTACCTCATTTTAAGGACAGGGAAACCGAGGTATTGAAAGGGAGGTAATGATGGAATGTAAATGCCAGCAGCAACACGAGGCACAAAACCAGGTCTCCTCCATGCTAGCTGGGTGCTTCAGGCAACACAGCTGGGAAGCTCCATATCCCATTACCCATATACTGAGCCGCCGAGTTCCCCCAGCAAGGATCTTATTTTTCATTATGGAGTGAAAAATAAAACAAGCCACAGGGCTCTAACTCCTCCTGCAAGCCAGAGACACAGGGCCAGACATTTCTGCGGCAAACGACACAGTGCAAATGCGGTGTGAGCAAAGTGGCAGCAGCCAGCCCGTGGAGGTGCTGGAGCTGTGGTATCACTCATTACTGGGAGAGAGGGGCAGCGTTACCTCAGCTGTCAGAAAACAGGCTGGCTGCTCATTAATCCAAAACGCTGCTGTTGAGATGAGCGACCTCGTGGTCACCGGCATCCTCAAACAAAATGTAAAGGCTCAAAAGGGAGATATTACAAATATCTGCCTTTAGTTCTCATCAGGTCTTGGGGACTGGGCTCAGTAACAGTTGAAATCTGTTATTTTGCGTGGCCATTTCCAGCAATGTAATAGATCTCTGAAATTCAACTTGTTAGTACTAAAGATTAAAGCAGATAGGGCAACTGAATTTCATACCTCTTGGTTTTTTGCCAGCATGTGAGACCAAGGACTCAGCAGTCTTCTATAGAGGGAAATACCTGTGAACCCAAACGTGCCTGCTGTCCATAGCTCTTCACTACCTGTCAGTTCTAAAAATAAGGTTCAAGAAGCTACTTAGCAAGCCCAAAGGAATAGCCCTGCTAGATAGCACCCAAGAAGGTAAGTAAGAGAACCCTGGTGGTTTTTGATTGCTTTTAAGCAAGATGAGAAGACACAAATCAACCTTAGGAGAACCAGAGAAGAGTTGAACGTGGGATCACAGCCCCTCGATTTCATTATTTCAGCCCAAAAGCACCCCAGGAACTGCTCTGGCAAACCAGAACTGGGCCAGGTTCTGGGCATGTCTCCCCCTTCCCAGCACCCCCAGACACTGCCCCGGCACCCACACCTGCACAGCACCACCTGGTGCTTCACCCAGCCATCCCGAGTTACAGCCAGCGTGGAAAGGAGCGTAGGGAGCTGCAGTGGCACCAAACCAACCTCTCTGCATCGTGGTACAGCACCTTATCCTGACCAGGGCTGGCACTGAGGATCCTCCACATGGGGCACAGCTGCCCAGTGCTTCACCTCACACCTGCTTGGTTCCTCAGAGGCTGAGGGGGCAGCTGCTGCAGCTTTAGGGATGGCTGTGCTCCTGCCCCCACTGAGGGGCTCCTCTGTTCTCACAGCCCCCTCACAGCCCCTTCCCAAAATGGTCATCCCCCAAACACCCCCACAGCCGCTCCACAAAATGGCCGCTGCCCCCCACAGCTGCCCCACAAAATGGCTGCCACCCCCACAGACTCCCCACAAAATGGCCGCTGCCCCCACAGCCGCCCCACAAAATGGCCACTGACCCCACAGCCGCCCCACAAAATGGCCACCCACCCCCATGGCTGCCACACAAAATGGCCGCCCGCCCCCATGGCCGCCCCACACAGAGGCACAGACAGTCCCCGAGGCGCCATGCTTTATTCTGAGGGGTGGAGGGCACAGCAGGGGAGCTGGGGGCGACAAGGAAGACAAGGAGTGGGGAGGGCGTTTGCAGGCTGGCAGGGCCAGGCCAGGCAGCACTAGCAGGAGGTGAAGGTTTTCCAGAAGAAGTTCTTGCAGGGCGCCTTGCGCTCCCGCTGCGAGAGCTGGGCGAGCCGGCCCAGCACCGCCCGCTCCTCCTCCAGCTTGCCCTCCTCCTCCAGGTCCGGGGCGGCCACCTCGCGCCCCACGTCCACGCTGTCCAGCAGGCCCGCCAGCATCTTCAGGATGGCGTCCTTCCGCACTGTGCTCTGTTCCTGCGGGCAGAGAGCAGGGAAATTGGTGCATGGAGGGCCTGTCCCCCACGGCCACTGAGGTCCCTTCATGTCCCCCTGCCATCCCTGGTGTCCTGTCCTGAGAGCTGATGCTTTTCCCATCAGCAGAGCTGTGCCAGAGCTGAGGGATCTGTGGCTCCAGAGGGCAGTGCTCCCATCTCCCCTCCCTGTCCAGCTCAGCCAGCTGGACCCTCACACGGGCCATGTTACAGCTGGAAAAGAGCTGCTAACAAATAGGCTTGAATCAGCTGTGAAGTCCCTCGCTGCCAGCACTAATTAAATTTCAGTGAATGCCAAGCTGCTGCCTCCTCCCCTGGTCAGCCCGTGCTCCCTTCACTGCTCTGACCGCCCAGCCTCTGCCTTGGGAAGGTCAGGGAAAGAGGCACAGGGTCCTGAGCAATATTAAATCAAGCTCACGGGGGGCTGTACCCCACTGTAAAATGAAATGCAGCATGGGGAGAGGGATGCCCCAAACTCTTGAGAAAATATTGCATCAGCAGAGACAGGCAGCTGTATTTCCAGAACAAGAACCTGTGTTTCCATAGCCTGACCCTGGGGCAAGGTGGGATGAACTGGGAGCTGCTGAGCTCCATCCCTTTGCTGTAGCAGAGCCTGTGTCTTGGGGCTTGAGGGGTTTCCGCCAGTACAAGCTGTGAGTTATTGTGTTTCCCTTAACTTTACATCCAGCAAATCTGAGGAATTACCTTGTGCCTGAGCATTCCTGGTCTCTGTGGCTCATTAGAAGGGACAGTTGGTACTGGCCAAGCTGGGATCGATGGTTTGACAGGAACAGATCCTGCTTCCCATGCAGAAGGGAATTTTGGAAGCACATTTCCATGTCAGTCCTCACAAATGCCATATTTACTGCTGGGACTGCTGTCTCTGTCAGCACCAGCATTCACTAAGGACCACTTGGTGAGCAACTCAAAAGATGGATAAATACAGGCAGCAGCAATTATCCTGAGTTTACATTACAGAAGGTTTATGGGCATTTTTTAATCACTTTCTTAGCTCTAGTAACAACCCTTGCTTCCACACAAGGCACAGCAAAACCCCACGCTGTGTGTGTGGCAGAAGAGAAGGTACAGCCAGCGTGTGCTCGTTCTGATTCCTCCTGCTGTGCTGCAAGGACAGAAGTGCCTTGAGCCTTTGGGAGACAGGCTGGGACAGGGGAACCCCCTAAGTGTGTCTCCTGGTCTTGTCTTCCTCAGAAGCTTCTTTCCTAGCTGTAAGTGCTATGTTTGTTTGGAAACAACCTGCTCCGAGCAGAGCCAGCGGCCTCAGACTGAGGGGTGGGGAAGGCAAAGCTCAGCCCGTGTTAGGGGATATTCCTTCTGCCTGATCGGCTGTGGCTGTCGGTGAAACCTGGCAGCTCTTCCCTGCACTAATCCACTGCTCACATCCTCTCTGCCTGCAGCTGTGCTCCAAGAGATCCAGGCTCTCAGGGAGCAGTTTGACACCCCAGCACGGTGGGCTGGGGCAAACCTTTGGGGAGCTGCTCCCTTCCCTGTGCTCCATCCATCAGTGCATCAGAGGGAACACATCTTCCTTTTGCACTGTAATGCATTTCATAGGGGTTTATATGTAAAATCCCACTATTTTTCATACTTAAAACATCTGTCTGAGTTACAGCAGTGGTGACTGCAGGGATTGGTTCATCAGTATCTAACAGTTTTTCAGTTTGTAGAATGCTCTATAATGATTCTCTTTAATTATATCATTATTTTGTAAGCAACAGTGCGCAGAAGACTAAGAGTCATCCCACTCAAATTAATTTTTACCAAAGCCTTATTTATCAATTTATTCCCTACAGCTTGTTTCTTTTTTTCCCCAGCAGCTGGGATTTGCACCAGAATTTACTTCTTAAGGAAAGAGTTTACATTTTAAGTGCTGGGTCTGTTACTACAAGAACGCAGAGCCGAAAGTTTCCAGTTATCCCCAGAAGGGTTAATCCCAGGCAGCTGCAGGAGCCCTGATCTAACAGAACTCCAGCCCCAGCACCTCACACTGTGCACCGTTCTTTCTTGCAGCCAGTTCTGTTGTTAATGGGATGTGAGCCCACTCCTGGAGCAGTGAGACACTGATGGATGAGCTGGAGCCAACACTGAGACAGAAAAAACGGCGTGGACACGCACAAAGGAGAAGTTGGTGCCTGTGAAACCAGCAATGGGATCCTTCCCTTCTCTGGAATAACAGCAGCCTTGTGGATACAGCCTGAACTGGACTGGTGGCTAACCAGAGCTCAGAGGAACATCAGGGATGGCAGGGAACACTCAGGTGAGAGAACTGCGGGGCGAGGGCAAGAAAACAGGGCTTGTAATCATGTTACGCTATTGCTTCCTACCCCTTTGGCCTCTTAGGGAAACAGCACAGCAAAATAAAGTTATTATAGTGCTCTAGCCATTATAATATTAGGGTTTTGCCAGTTGGTAGGGTAATTATACTGCTATAATAAGTTCTGCCACTGCATAGAGCTGTGCTGGTTCAGAGTGTAATTATTCTAGCAGAACTATGTCAGTATAACTCCCCTTGTGAATACTACTCTGGAAAAAGCAATTTTATTCTGATATAATTACTTCATTTACGATTCCTCTGTTACTTTCCTACTGAACCCATCTTTTAAACATTTGTCCTTCCCATGAGTCCTATTTAAAATATCATCTCCCTTGATCATTTTACCAATTATGTATCTTTTCTCTCCCTCCCTAGTACTCTGCTTTATTCTCTCATGCTGTACCATTTCAGTAATATTTTCTCCTTTTCCCTCTGCTCTCTGCTGTTCATTTTGCCACTTTTTGCTTAGCTCAGACTTCACTTTGGCAGCCCCTGGCATCTGGTGCCTTTCCTAAATCAGCTGTGGGTAGAGCTGTAGTAACAGCCCCGCGTTCAGCAGCGCGTCAAGCTGTGGTGCCTTGGAACATAGAGGGCTGGAAGAGTTGTTTGCACCAGGTAGAGCCTAATTGCCCTTCTCCCCCCTCCCCTGGCTCCATCCTCGCCCAGCTGCTGCCCAGGGTGGGTTTTACTCACCCTGGTGCTCTGGATGGCCAGTCTCTCCTCTCCAGGCAGTGCCGTGGCTCTCACACTCCACACCAGCAGCAGCACGGACACCAGGCTGGCCACCAGCTGCATGATGCACAGGCTGGGACTGGTGCTGAATGAGGAAGACTGGGAGAGGGAGCTGCTCCTGGGCTCTCTTCTGCCTCAGACAATGGCTGCAGCCCCTTTTATAGCCCTCCCCCAGCCCAGTGGGTGACGCAAACAATTAAGTCTATATCAAAGGCAAATTAGACTTTGGAGAGGTTGTTAACACTTGGCTGCTTGAGTGGGATACTTCAGTGCCTCTGGGCTCTCCATGTGCCAGACCTGCAGAGATTGAGGAAGCAAAGGCTTGGGACACTCCAGTAACATGCTGTTTCTTCACTCCAAGAAATTGTGGGCACTCTCTGTGCCTCTTCCCAGTCAGCTGGATTCTGTTTGGGAAATAATGTTGGGTGGAAGAGGCCACCAGCTTGCACAGAACCTGGATGATTCAGAGGGAAGACGTAAAACTTCTGGCCAGCAGTACTTAAATGTGGGCTTGGACCCTCAGCTGGTGTGTCCAAACAGCTCCAGACTTCCAGGGTATTTGGATGTGGGTCTCTGACATCCAGCAGTGCATCTCACCTCGGAATGCTGACACTCCTGGCTCTCCCTGTAGGGTAGCATGGGGACAGAGCTGCAGCTGTGCAGTTATGTCCTCTGTCTGGAGAATGCACGTCAGACCACCTGGAAGCCAGCTGGGGGTTGTGGGGTCTTGTTCCTAGTGTTGCTTCAATCCCTCTTGAACCTGTCCCAGGAGTGTAGGTCAGCACTGGAGATGCCGGGTGTAAATGTGTTAAAAACAAAGTACTGAAAGGCTGGTCAGAGCCGGAGCTGCTCTGCCCTGAGAGGCTTAAAAAGGCTCATGCTCTGCTGGCACTGACCACAGGCTGCTTGGAGTGTGTTCCTACCACTCCTGGTCAGCAGTCAATAATGCTTCTTCCTTGCCCCAAGAGCTGTCCCACCAGTGGGACTGGTCCCTGGGCCAGCAGAAAGTGCTGTTAAGCACTGCCATCTGCATTGTCCCCATCACTGTTACAGCCTGTGAGACGATCTCAGCTCACCACCAGCCCTTTCTCCAGGAGCACTCGCCTCAGGCAAGTCTTCCCCTGACCCTAACAACAATAGACAGTCAAAAGGTAAATTGTTATCCTAATTTAGCACATTAAAAAAAACCCCACAGGGAGGTGACTTGGCCAGGGGATGCTGTGGCAGAACTAAGAACAGAAGGCAGAAAAACCTGTTCCCCATTTCTCCCTCTTACCAGCATTACAGATCCTGGAAACAGCATGATGGAACTCTGCCTGCAGATAACCCAGCTCCCAGTGCCAGTTACACCAGCTCTGGAGGGAAAAGATGCCACCACTTCCATGCACGCTGTAAAATAAATGCTGCATTCCCTCACTGAGAGACAGAAAAACCCTTTTCTGACTCACAGAGCCTTGTGGGGGGAAAGTAACAATCTAGCAATTTCTGGAAATGAATTTTCTGTGGAGAACTTTGTAACCTCCTCATTTCTCACCCTCCCCAAGTGAGAGGTGGCTTCCATGCACCACTTCCAGATGAAACATTATCTGTTTCCTTTGAACCTGATCTGGCTGCTTTATCAGAGTGGCGGTGTAATGGATTCTGTCAAACACTTCCCTGCAGCCCTGGGCTGAGGCAGAGCAGGGAAGCTCCAGCAGGCAGAGAAACCACAGGGACCTGCCAAATGACCCGCGGCCGATCTGCTCCGGGAGAGGCAAACCCGGAGAGGAGCACATGGACAAAACACACTTGGCTGCTCAAGGGGAAGGAAGGGCAGGTCCTGGGAGCGTGAGATGTGCTGGGGCTGACAGGTGAGTCCTGCACTGGGGCTGTGAGGCAGGACTCGCCCTCGTGGGCCCACTGGCCCCAAAGCCAAGCAGACAGCAGGGGCAGTGCGGGCGGGTCTCCATGCTGGGGCCATCTGCTCTGCCCACGCTGCTGTTCCAATAAACACAGCTCTGTCTGCAGCTTCCCTCTGGAAGGGGCTGATGTCTATAATGCTCCACTGACAGACTGGGGTCACAAGTGTGACAATGCTCCTACCAGAAAAGATCAGCTGCTGGGGAGGCCCACAGGGATGTAAATGGCAACCAGGCTGCCCGGAATCTGCCCTGGGACTAAAGGGCAGTAATAAAATAACTGTTACCTCCTGAGCAGGGGTGACTTTGGAGACAGCTCCTGCCCAGATATACCAGCACCAAACCTGTGGCCCCGCTGACAAGCACAGCCCAGCCAAAACCTGTGTCTAGCCTGGGCAAGGCTGGGTGTCTCTTCCCAGCTGGCAGGGAGGGAACAGGGACACGTCAGAGCACTTACACTCCAGTGCCCACAGTAGGACTGGATCTCTAAATCCAAACGTTTCCTCTGGGCTCTGCTACAGCATCTCTCAGTATCAGACACCTCTTTTCCAGGTTCCTCCATCTTCCCTAGTGCCCTTCCCTTTCCCCACATTCCCTCTGCTGCTTCCCCTAGTTAGTCTATCCTCTGGTCCCTTTGCAGACCCTTCTGACCACCCCCCCCCAACAGGCTATAGCACCATCTCCTTCTCCAAAGGAAGTAAAATAACTCTGTGGTGGTAAAATCTGTTCTTTTTCGTAACTGGATAGAGCTCAACATACAGCACCAGGATTGTTCATACTTCCTACTGTGCCTATCCCATGTGCATTGGCTGTCTGACCTTTAAGAAGGCCCCAATTATTATTATTTCTTTTTTTTTGCCAACCCTTAAATGCTGATCACCCTGTACAGGAAAGGGTAAAGGACTTCCCTTGGAACAATAAACATTTCTGACAATTTTTTCCTCTCACCACTTTCTCCCTGTTATCTGACTCACCCCTTTGGAAGTCGTGTTCCTTGATGCTCTCCTGCCCCCAGCTGCACATGGCCTGAGTGGGTCTGTGCCACTTCACAGGGAGGGTGGATCTGCCTGAAATCAGAATGCCTTTGAACACATCCCTGGGAGCCTGGCAGGGTGGGGATGCTCCAGAAGGAATTCCTGCATATCAGGAACTTGAAAAGGCCTGGCTCTCCCAGGATTTTGTCCAACAGTTCCTGTGGCTCCAGCAGGGATGCACAGTGGGTCCAGGAGCACAGCAGAATATGTTTCCACGAGCACACGAGACAACCTCCATCTGTTTGTGATTAAGGCTGCACTGGGAGAGGTTCTGTCATTCAAGAAAGAGGTCCCTGACCTCTCCTCAGTGAGTCTGTGCAGCAGCAGGGACAGGGCACTGCTGGAACACAGAAACTATGACTGTGTCTGGCACCAAATGCCACACTAAGGAATGAGGTTATTTCTCAGTTGCTCTCCTATATGGCCTGGATGTTTTCTGCCTTCTACCCCTTTGCTGCCTGCTCTGGGCTCAGGTCACCATGTCTTGAAGCACGTAGCAGAACCACGTCAGGCTTCCTGAAAGGTTCCCAAAGGTGAGGCCCTCAGCTGCAGCTGAAGGAAGGGTTCCAGTACCTTCCTGTCATTGGAATCCTTGCTCTCTGCCCTCGAGAGTCCCTCCTTGCAAAGGCCAGTGCAATAAATAAAGCAGTAGTCAGCTGACAGTCGTGAGCCTTCCTGGAAGGGGAAACCAATTTGTTCACGGGCCTGAAATCACAGCTCATTTCTCAGGCAGCATTCCCTGGCACTGTGCTCCCCAGGGCCCTGGAGGGGCGTGCAGGTGGCTGTTCCAGCCTTGGCTTTGCATTGGCACTCATCTAACAAACCCAGGGAAGAGGCTGTGGGAGCGTGGGCTGGAGCCTCGTCCCCGCTCAGAGCTCGGAGCAGGTGCAGGAGGAGGAGGGGAGGGCCCCAGGGATGCTGCTCTCACAGCACACACGACTGCAGGGCTGCTCCAGCTCTCTGGGGAAGGGGAGCTGTGCCACATCCTCTGTCTGCCGACCCCAAAGGGACCCAGGAGGGTGAGGGGAGGGCGAGCAAAATGCCTCAGTGGCTCAAAGCCTTTTGTAGAAACTGAAAGAAGGGAAATTTAGGTTAGATATTTATTGGGAAGAAATTTTTTTACTGTGAGGGTGGTGAGACGCTGGAACAGGCTGCCCAGGGAGGCTGTGGATGCCACAACCCTGGCAGTGTTCAAAGCCATGTTGGACAAGGCCTCAGCAATCTGGTCTAGTGTGAGGTGCCCCTGCCCATGGCAGGGGGGATTGGGACTGGTTGATCCTCCAGGTCCATTCCAACCCCTTAACATTCTATGGTTCTATGATTTAACTGCATGTGAAGTTAAGCATTCAGCTATTCCACCAAAGTCTTCCTTCGAAAATAACTGATCACTATGAAACCCTATTTCAAAGTACCTGTTTCCCAGTGTAAATCTGTTGCCTGGCTCCAGCCTGGAGTCATTTCAGGCTGGGGTTACTGCTACTGCCATGGACTGACCTCTGTTACACCAGTTGTGCCTCTGGTGGCAGGATTGAGAGCCCACCAGGGATGTTGACACCCGGGCCTGTGACACTGTCAGCACCACAGAAGGGACCACTGGACTGGGACAGCCTTGAGCAGGAATTGCAGGCAGGCTGGGGTTCTGGTTACTGCTGTCCCACAGCTGAAGGGGGTGAAACACCCCCAGTGTCATCACATGCACCATCTTGCCTTAGCCCTGGCACACAGAAGTAGCTTTGTTAAGCAAATCCTCGCTGGACATGCCCAGCCCTTCAGTACCAAGGAGAGGGCAGCTCCTGCTGCAGGGCACCTGTGGGGTCCCTGCCCCACCACCCTCGGCACTTCAAGCCCCATTAGCCAGGAGCTGGTGCCCTTGAAAGGCCTGCACTGAGATGCCCAACATTTGCAATAACCCACCCATCTTCACGTGCCTCACACCTCACTGTGCTGCAACTGCGACTCCCTGGCTACAGTTCCCCAGCTTCTGCACATTTGAAAAGCGCTTAACTCCATCCTAAACATGACTAGGAAACAGCATTCCCTCAGACTTCTCAGTATTTACCTTGGTTAAATTCCTCATCTTACTTTTTAACAGCCTTTTGTCTGACTCTTTTGCTAGACCTGAGCTGCTGCTTCACGCTGTCCACACTTTTCCCTCTTCTTGCCCCACTGTGTTATCAAGGGAACTTTCCTCTCCCCAAACTTGGTGGCACTTGTTAATACTTTTTTGACTGCCTGCTTACCGAGGCTGCTGTTCTGATGAAAGATGAATGTCATTCCTCCCTCAGCAGTCTCTTGCTCCAGCTCTCAGCCCCATCAATAATTCAGCCAGGCCTGGATAACATTAGCTCTGTTTGAATACCACACTCATGCCAATTAACTGACTGAGAGGGCTCGGGAGGTACAGGCAGGAGATTTCTCTCAATTTTACAAAGCTCTTTTCTGAATGTCCAAAAATCGAGTTAGTTCAACGAGTAAAAGCAGAGCAGAGAGTCTGACACAGTTCAAGAGGTGCCAAGAGACTCCAGCAATGGATGTGCTGAAGCCCGTCAGGCTCCGCTCCCTCGCTTGTCTCCACCTGCTCTCACTGACACAACACTGCACGTTCCTGGGACAGAGCCTATCCCTGTCCATGTGCTCCTGGCTCAGTGAGACGCTGGAACATGACTGCAGCATGTCTAGACAAACATCATCCCTGTGGCTCTTCGCTTGTGAACAGCCCTGCCTGTGGAGAGCAGTGCCTTGGAACGGCTCAGGAACTGCATACGGGACCCTGTGGATGGAGCGTGTGTGACTTGGACGGGAAACAGCCTTGTCTTCCTGCTCTCACCACTGGCTACTTGCTGAACTTACACATTTGGAGAGAGCTCAAAGAACCAGAAGGAGTAATTAGCTGAGTGGAGGCCAGGTTTTGAGGAAGCTCTTTCCTCCTGGGCATTGTTGTAGTCACCAGGGTTGGGTGAAAGGTTTGAACTTGTTAATAGTTGGCTGCTGCTCTAAGGCCTTCCTGCACTACAGTCCTGGTCTCGATTCCCGTTCCAGGGGAAAGTGCCAGAGCTAGTTTTCCATCAGGGATGAAGGGCTGAAGGGGGTTCAGGTCCCACAGGGATTTGAACAGGAGGAGCTACAACCATTACTGATCTGATCTTTATAAAAATACTACATCGAGCAATGAAAATGCCTCGTTAGCCCAAAGGACTCGGTAGCTGTGAGAGAAAGGAGACAGTTACCCAGACAATGGGAGAGACATAACGGCTGTAAAATTCCCAGCACAAGAACACAGAGGAGATCCAGACTCAGCTCTGCATCTCAGCAATGCTTTGCAAACCCTTAGGAGCTCCAAGAAGCTGTACTGATACTGGGGGTAGAAGGGGGCCCTGGGAAAGAATTGACAAGTCTCATCAGAAAGGGGAGACAGAGGAGGGCTGGTACTGACCCCACAAGTCCCTCGCTCTGGGCACACATTGGCTGCACCACCAATGCTGTTTGTAGGGTCACAATTATGGTAAAGCTCAACCCCAACCTTTGCTGAAGTCTGCTCCTTCCTTTTCTCTCTCAACAAGCCCCAAAGGCCTCTCTCAGAAGCAGCTTTTTGCCTTCTCCTGATGCCACCTAGTGCCTGTCCCCAGCCTGCTCAGCCAGAGCTCAGCCTTGGCTCAGCCCTCGGAGCCACGGCAGTTCCTGCAGAGGGAAGGAGGGAGCGGGGCCAGGGCTGACAGGAACTGCCTGATGGCAGCAGGGAGAGGGGCAGCTGGAAAACAGCTTGGAAAACTGTACACAGGCTGCATTTGGACCGGAGCATAGCTCGGGTAACAGGTACTGACACTGCAGCTGGAGCTATTGGGCTACGATACAAAACAAGCAATGGGATCACTCCTCAGAGCTTGGGTGATAACTTGTCATCCCTAGAGATGAGGGAGAGAGGAAGGCAGAGCGACTGCAGAGCCCCTGGAAGCACAGCAGGCCCTCAGCACCTCTGTTTCCCCTCCCACTCTCCCCAAAGAACACCGACCCACAGTGATGTCACCTTGACCAGAGCCGAGTTTTAATGGAGTGCAAGGAGTGCCAGGGGCACAGTGGGTGGGCTGGCAGGGGGTCCCCCTGCACTGGGCACGGAGCCTTCAGAGCAGAAGTAAAGGAGTGGAGGCAGATCCATCTCACAGAGTACAACAGAAAACAACTTGTGCATCTGGGGGCAGCATCAGAAATAATGATGCCTCCTAAGGACTTGCAAATACCCAGGCCTGAGGCATCTCAGCACGACTGAGATGAGAGATTTGTCAGCACAACTGATATTCCCCAACATCAGTACTGAACAGCAGGCAATGGAGCTAAGGTTTGTTTTTTATATATATATATTTATATTTATATATATAAAGCGCCTATCACCATATTGATAAACATTCTTTGGAACCACTCCGAGGGCAGAGGTAAGAACAGGGGTTAGCCTGTGGGTACCTCAGCACTTCTGTTTCCAACCAATTTAAAAAACCAAAAATTAAAAAAAAAAAAAAAAAAAAAAGCCACAAGACTTTGCTGCCAGCCTGCCTGGCTGGTGTTTAATACTGCTACTCCATCAGGGTTGGAGGGAGACCTATTGTGAATGGCAACAGTTTTGCACTGTGACTTCTCCAGCCCTGCTGCAGAGCAGTGCAGGTGTCACAGGAGGGCAGTGGGACACGGAGGCTCAGACCCGTCACCAGTCAAGTGTCTCAGCAGCAGGAGCTCCCACGAGGAGAGCGAGCTCACTGTGCACAGAGCTCTCACCCTCTGTGCTTAAGGCCGAGTCAGGGACCCTTTGGACTCTTCCCAGATCACCAGACAGAAATATGTGTCAGTTATAAATACATCATGTCAGTTGGGGGTGGAGGTGAGACGGGGTTGCAGGGATGGGGGGATTTAGGGTGGGTGCAGGGAGGAGAGAGAGGACGAAGACACCTTACGTTTCCAGCACTGGAAAGAACAGTTTTGACCTCACGCAATAAGTCACTGGACCTTTTCAATAGTCTTATCTGGCTCATGCCCCATCATCTGTTACACATCAAAGGGAATGTTGGCTGGCAAAGGGTTAAACGATCCCACACAGTGGAGAGCAAATCTGCAGTCTGCTGGGAAGGTCCCAACCACATCACTGACGATCTCAGGGTCCACCTTGAAGGAAGGAAGCAGCTTCTCACTCTCACACATCGCTCAGCGCCTGCAGACAGAGAGAGTGTCAGGAGGGACCTGCCACAGCTCTACCAGTCCTCAGCAGAAACAAAAATCACCACCTCTGAAACACAACTGTGGCATTTGCCTTCATCCCTAGGATGCTCTCAGGAGGCTTTTTTCCCAAACCTGCACTTGCAACCCGGTTAGGAGATGATGGAATAATGCAGAAATCCTTCAAAAAGGCAGAGTGAACTCTGCTGGACCATCCTTTCTTTACCCTCTGGTTTCTGCTAGAAACCATAACCACATTTTATCTAAGACTTTTGGAGCTTTGCAATGGGAAACCCCAGTTCTGCAGGCTCTGGGACTCGGTTTTGGTAGGCGAAGTAGGAGCGATCTGCCATCAAGGCATGGTACGTGAACCCAAGGAAGTTTCAAACTGAACTCCAGCCTTCCCTGACTGACTCATGCTCTGCTCTGTCACACAAAACGCCGTCCTGCTCCGACTTGCCCAGAGCAGCCTTTGAGGCTGCAGGAAATCCTCAGCCCTGCCCACTCCCACCCCCACCAGGTGCTGGACGGAGCCCGGCTCACCTTCCGTGCAAACTCGGGCAGGATGAAGGCTGCCCGGTGGATGTCAGAGTTGTAGTACTTCAGACTCCTCTCCTCCACTTGCTGCTGCGAGAGCCGCTGCACAGGCTCCCGGAAATTCGTGTTCTGCAAGAACAAAGCCGGGTGGCTCTGAGTGCTCGGGTGAGGAGCCAGGGGCTGTGTGACAGGCACCCTGATTTGTGGCAGAGAACCCAGAGGACTCGCAGGAAAACAGATGACCTTCTGTTCTAGCACGAGGTCAAAGGTTCTGCACAGCTCCAGCCCCAAGGGCCGGGGTTCACGCTCTGTAACTCGTGTGAGCAGCCCTGATGCACAGATGTCAGTGCATGAGGTCAGACCGGGCGAGCCCTGTGCCAGATGAAGCTGTCAGAGTGCCTGAGCATCCAAGAAAGCCAGGCTTTGCTGGCCAGAGCAGAATCCACGCCTGTGTTAGGCTGGGCACAGTGCCTGCTGCCAGCACCCCAGATAAATCACGTACAGCAGCAGCACTGCTGGCCCCAAAAACCCACCCGACAGTTGCATTGCAGCAGACAGAAACGAGACCTCAGTGGTCTCCCAACATAACCAGTCCACATTTCAACACCAATTCCCTTGGAGGCCTCTGTACAAGCAGATCACAGGTTGATTCTCATCAAGCAGGTGCCCACCTTCTTACAGCCAACATCAATAAGACAAAGCTTTAACAGGCTCTGGGAATTGGTAGCAACTTCCTCCCTTCCAAAATTGTACTAGACAGAAACCCATGTCCTTTTCTAAGGTCAGTTCTGCAGTTGATCCAGCACTGAGCAGGCTGCACTGCAGCTCTGGCACCTGGAGCTGGGTCTGGAGGCCCCAGAGCTGGGAGAGCTCAGTGCCACAGCTCCAGCTCTGGGGGCACAGCCTGAGGCAGACCCTGCGGGCGCTTCCAAGGAGCGGCAAAGGGCACTGGAGGTGCCGCAGACTCACCGGGTTCTTGCTGCAGAGCATGAAGCCAATCTGCCCGCTGGGATACGTGGGGATGGTGCAATAGGCGTATTCCACCACCGGGAACAGAGACTTGCAGAACTGACGCATCTCCTTAATGAGATCCAGGTGCAGCCACTGGCACTCACCTGCAGGGAGAGGGGAAGGCGGGATGCGAGGTGAGAGCTGCCCCTCTTCCCTGTGCCAGGTTAACAGTGGTTCCAAGTCCCAACCTGCTCTGCTCTGCGCGGCTCATGCGGTTTCAAAGGCAAGACCAGCCCCTTAGGCCAGCTTGGCTAAGCTCAGTCCAGCAGTTAACGAGCAGATGGAGACAGACCAAAACCACTGCTGTACCTGGGAGCCCAAATGTCTCCCCCAGAAGAGTCGCCCCCTGTGCCTCACCCTTGGCATGCAATGGTCTGGCATCGGCCTGTGCCCAGGGACAGCACCCTCACCTTGGCAGCAGAGAATCCCATCCTCTCGCAGGGCTGTCTTCATCAGCTGGTAGTAAGATTCTTTGAATAAGCTTTCTGCAGGACCTGGGAGAAAAGAGAGTGAAGGAAAGTTTTGACCTGGGGTGAACCTCAGCCTGCACCCAGCACAGCGAAACCATCAGGATTTCAGCTTTGCTCAATTGCAAGCCCAGGACCTTTACCAAAGGAAGTCATAGCAGCTGCCTTTTGCTCCAGGGAGCATTTTTTAAACAGAACTCCTGCTCCAAACTGCATTTTAGAGATGCCTCTCCTGTGTTGGCTACAGCAAGAGTGAAGGGGCTCAAGCAGTCGTCGTCAGGTCCCTAAAACGAGGTGCCATATCTACATTTGGTCCCTCTCTGCCTCAGTTTTTCCCTTCAGAAATACAGCAGCCCCATCACAGCCATCTCTAGGGTAGGTGCTACACCAACAGTGTGTGAGCCACTGCTTCACTGGCAGGCACATGGGCAAAGCTGTTCTTCCAGCATGGTGCTGTATCCATGGGATTGCTGGACTCAGGGATCAACTCTGCCAGAAGCAATAGCTGCTGAAGTTGAATTTTGAGGAGAGAAAGGCGCCAGCTCGCCTGAAGCCTTGCTAATACAATTTTCTGGTTCTCATCCTTCCTTTCCCTACCAAAAGAAGCAAGTCAGCAACAGTCTTTCACTTGAAAGGAGCCTGGGCAGGCTGGCATAACTTCCAAGAGGTAAGCAGAGAAGGAGGGGGAGTGTGGAAAGCAGTGCCCTTTTATGGCAGAATTCTTACCCATGGGGTCAGACGAGTCTGTGATAATCACATCAAAGGCTTCTTGATTTTGTTTCATGAACTCAAAACCATCTCCCACGTGCAGGGTCAGCTTAGCGCTGGAATATCCCACTGCCATCCCTGGGAGGTATTTTTTGGATACCTGGATCACATCCTGCAGCAACACAGAGAGCACAAGTGGGTCAGCGGGGGCTAAAAGGAGCTGCTTCTCAGGCTACTGTGCAGTTGCAGCTGAAAGAACAGCACAGTGAGTCATTTCCTTCCATGCCTTCAGCACAAATCCGACTCAGCCAGTGAGATCCTCAAGAGCTGTCAGCATCTTCAGCCAACAAGCTACACTCAGCCCTTTCCTACGGCCTCAGGGTTCAGTGACACTGTTGGTCTGTCCTTGCCAAACTCAACAAGAAGCTGGAGTTCAAAAGCTCCCTGAGGAACAGAGTGAACAGGATCACAGATCACACTGCTCTGTGCCCCTTTTCCCTCTGGACTCCACTTGCAGAGGTGATCTCCCTTTCTACCCTCCTAATGAAACCATGCCAGCAGGTTTCTAGATACAAGATGAGCAAGTTCTCCATCTCTGCTCCACAGCTATTAAATCAGTCCCCCAATAAGATACAGTTTTCTCTCTAAAATGGTTAGACAGGCACTGCCCTGGGCCCAGCAACTGTACTAAACACTACCAGCTTCTCACAGCTGGCAGAGATGAAAAAATATGCTGGTGTCAGGCAGTGCTTGTTCAAAACCAGGCACGTTTGCCTACTTAGCTTGGCAGACAGAGCACACATCTCACACAGCAGTGTTTCCCATTCCTAATACAGCCCTGCCCTGAGCAAAACTTCCTAAGAAAGTAAAATATCAGAACAAACTAGCTGAGAGGAGGAGGACTGGCCCATTCATCATGGAAACAAATCCCCCCTTCTTATTTCCTGCTTTCAGTCGCAGGGAACTGCTCAACACAGCGACCATCCTCCTCGGGCAGGAGCAGCAGTCAGTTCAGCAGCGAGGCAGAGGGAAAAGCAGCACCTCCACAAAGCCAGGGCGCTCCTCCAGATCCCGTGCTTGGCCCACGCCGGCCTGGAAGGGCCTCAACCGCATGTGTGTGAAAGAAATCACATGGAAGAGGCAGCCAGCTGCCACGTAGATGACTTGTAAGGCAAAGAGGTGGCGCTGTCAGTGTCACGCCAGCAGAACCGGCAGCAAAGGCGCCCGGTGCTGACAAGGGGCAGCAGGTGAAGCCGCAGCTCCCGTGGATGCTGTGAGGCCGGGCTGCTTCTGCCGGGCAGCTCGCCCGCCCGCTCGCCCGCCCGCAGCCCCGGGGCTCCCGCACGCAGCCGGCAGCACAACGCACCTCATCGATCTCGCACTGCACCACGGACTCCACGGTGGGGTGTTTGACCACCTCTCGCAGCACTCCCCCGTCGCCGCCGCCGATGATGAGCACCTGGCAGGGGAGGGCAGAGCACCGGCCGTCAGCGGGGCGGCTCGGGGGGATTGGGGCTGCACGGCCTAACGGGAGCGGCGCGAATGCCCGCGGGCCCGTCCTGCCCGGCATGGGCTGCGGGGCCCACGCGGCTGCGGCCACGCTCGCCCGCAGGGCCCGGGCCGGGTCTGCGAGCCCCGGCCGGGGGCACCCCAAGGAGGGGCCGGGGACGACTCACCTTGCGGGGGTCGGGGTGGCTACAGAGGGGCAGGTTGGCGATCATTTCCTGGTAGGAGAACTCGTCCCGCTCCGTGCACTGGATCACCCCGTCCAGGACCAGGACGTTGCCGTAGGTGGTGCTGGGCAGAGCGGGGGAAGCGGCGTTGGAGCCGGGCCCGGGGCCGCGCTCCCCCGCGCCCTCCCCGCGCCAAACAGGCCCCACCGCGTGGCGCTCCCCCCGCCGCCCGGCCCGCCCCCCCCGCACCTGCGGAACACGAGGATCTCCTGGTAGCGGGAGCGCTGGTGGTGCAGCAGCTCCTCCACCTGCAGCGACATGGCCTGGCCGGGCCAGAGCCGGCAGGTCTCTCGGAACCAGCCCTCGCGGATCAGCGCGGCCGCGCCGCGCTCCATCGCGGCCGGGGCGCGGGGCGGAGCCGCTGCGGGGGCAGCGCTGCGGGGACACCGCGCTCGGTCCCGCCGCCGCCGCCGCCGCCTGACCCCGCGGGCGCGGGAGCCGCGCGCAGGGCCCCGCGCCGCCCGGCCCCGCCCCGCCCGCCGCCATTGGCCCCGCGCGGCCCTGACGGGCGGGAACGGGGGGCCGGCGCGGGGGAAAGGGCGCGCCCGCCCCGCACACGGCCCCGCCCCGCACACGGCCCCGCCCCGCACACGGCCCCGCCCCGCACACGGCCCCGCCCGCGCCACCGCCGGCAGAGCAGAGTCCGGCTGGGGGGATGGAAGGGCTGCGTGGAAAGGGGAAGGGCCATGCGGGATTTAACGAGGGTGACTGGGGGGCTGGAGCGGCTCTCAAGAGGAGAGGCTGAGGGAGCTGGGGCTGTTCAGCCTCCAGAGGAGACGCTGAGAAGGGACTCTCGCAGTGTCAGTGGCTGCAGGGAGGAGGCAGAGCAAGGACCAGGCTCTGCTCCGGACGAGGGGGGCCAGCAATGGCACAAGAGGATGGGGCAGAACCTGGTGCCCAGGAAGTTCCACCTGAACATGAGGAAGAACTTCTTCCCTGTGCAGTGCCCCAACACTGAGCAGGGAGGGTGTGGAGTCCCCCTCACCGGGGATATTCCAGACCCCTCTGGATATAGTCCTGTACCATGTGCTCTGGGATGACCCTGCTGGAGCAGGGAGGTGGGACCAGATGACCCACTGTGGTCCCTTCCAGCCTGACCCATCCTGGGATTGTGTGGATGTCACAAAAGCAGATTTGGTTCTGGAAAACCAGAAAAATCCTGAAATTAAGATCACCCTTGAAATGTCACCTCGCATGGAACTTAAAGTAGAGGACTTAAACTAGAGATTTTAATATCCCTGGGGGCAATGTGGTTTTTAGTAAGACTTCTTGTTCTTCCAGTTACAGAAATAACCAGAACTGGTAAAGCTGGGAAGGGAATTGGCAGCCCCTGCAAATGCACTTAAGAGACAATTGCTATTTAACTGCCTCTTTACAAAAACATTCTCCAATATTCAGCCATGCAAGCAGACTTTATGAGCAGAAAGAGACTCTGTTCCACCATTACAATGCTGCTCAGTTGGCACTGTTCACACTAAGATACCTAAGAAGGAAAACCCCTCCTCTGTTCCTTCCACTCCCTACTCCCCAAAAACAGTGGAAGAGATTGAAAACAAAGTCAACCCCAAACCTCCTCAGTCTTTGTAAAATAAAGCCCTGTTAAAATGTCGTGTTCCTTACCTCTGCACAGCAGCAGTACCAGCCAGCAGTGGTCAGCATTAGAATAAGCTCAGTCATCCATCCACCAAACACTGATACTGTTTCTGATACTCTCTACAAAGACTTCAGGGTAACTCACTGTGGGTATTTAAAACTTGGAGATGTTAGTTTAGCTGTAAAGATTCAGTTGCAGCACAGAACCTGCTGCCTTTCCCCAGCCCAACCCTGCACTCTGGTTTTACCTTCTAGCTAATGCTGTTGCTTTCATCCTATGACCTCAGATCCCAAAAGTATCCTAACTCTTTTTTTCCCCCCCTTAGGATCAAGTCTTTCTTTCAAAATACAAAAACACTGCCAGGTAAACACTCTCATTTTTCATATTACCTTGTCCTGTAAGAGTTGAGCTGTGCAGTTCAATTTGTAAGCAAGGTCTGACACAAAAGACAGTCTGGCCTCATTTCCTCCTCTGCACTGCTGGGGTTTGAGTCATATCTACTGAATCTATTATTTTTGTGCTGCCTTTAGAGGTGCCAAGAGGTTCCTCTCATACTCCGTTGATATGCTGGTTCTGGACTTCAGGCAACTCCAACAAGTGACAAGTTCAGCCTAATTTTGTTTGAGGACACAGGATAAAGTTTCAAAATTATAAACAAAGCAATATTATGAGTAAAATTAGAAAAAAACCAATGTGAATGTAATAAAAGTGGCATCAATTAAGACGTTTTTCCTTTTGGAAAAAAAAGGATTTTAATAGTTTTAAAAATGTTTTCTGTACAAAAACTGCTCAACGACCGGTCTTTGCCTCCTTGTGGTGACAACACTTCTAACTATTGTTTCCTTCAGCAGTAACTCCCACAGGTCCTGTAACAAGGATTATCTCTTTGGCCAGTGGTGTGTCGAACCCCTGCAAAAGAGTTACACAAACACTTTAACTCTTGCTCTAAATTCACTCAAGACTGAAAACTGACGATGTTACAATGATTCTATCAAGGGTCCTGATGCAGAACCCTTACCTTGTGTTGCTCTTTTATGACTAAGTAACACAAAAGGATCAATCTTGTAAGCTAAACATTAAGTATCCATTCAGAACAAGAATGTTCATGCTTGGCAGTACTGTTATTTGTCTTCCTCCCAAGCCAGGCAGATGTTCTCCCCACCTCCACCTACCTCTGTGGTCAAAGCAAGCAACTTCCACATCCATTAACACAAACTTTTTTACCTCAGCGTTTCAAACCTCCCACCCAGACTTGTCTTTGATTGCATTAATCCTGACTAAGTTTCTTTTTTTTTTTCCTTTAAACTGACGTCAAGCTGTGACACAACCTCTTCCCGTTAAGCGTGTGCCTGAGCTCCCACAGCTGCCCACGGCTCCAGGGCATGGGTTTGCAAACACTCCAGCTGGATCAGGGCAGGCTGACAACACAGCAGGCTCACAACACACCTTTCAGCTTTCCCCGCCAGGTAGGACATGCTCCGGTTTCCAGACTGTTGAAGTTTGTTCGCCCCAGCAAATTTCTGCACAGAGAGGAGACAAAACACCAGCACGGTGAGGCTGCTTCCAAATCCAGTGTATCCTGTGAGGTTCATGTGCTGCCAGGTCCCTCCAACCTCATACAACTCCATCCACACCGTGAGCTTTATGTCTTAGAGCGGCACTGAGTGCACCTGAGGAAATGTTGTTCTACTGCTCTGACCTGGACTGTGAGGCACAATACCCCACTGACAACAAACCTTACCCATCTAGGCAGAAAGAGCTGTACAGGTTGTCCCAAATTCACCATGTGGTTTCATTTTTTCTCCTGAAACAAGTTTCAACTGACAGGGCAAAGGGATTGCAGAGGAAACTGTTTCCTACTCTATCAAGCATAAAGTGCTTCAGCTACTAAAATATGATTTTTTGGAACGTCTCAGATGCTCCCTGGTAACATTTTCCCTCCAGTTAAACATGCAGGAAGGCAACATGCACAGGGGAGGCTGAAATGCTAGAAATGAGCTTCAGAACTTAAATTACTGCTCCAGCACCCAGCGAGTTCACACCATGGGCTTCCTGTTACTTCATGCCTGAAAGCCCATGGACATGACCCATCAGCACCCAAACTCCACGTGTGAGCACTATGCAGGTATAGATGGGGGGGTTTAGGCACCCAGGTCTGCAGGGGTGACAGCACAGGAACTGCCTTAAGTTTGTGTTTGACTGTTCTTGTTTTCTTTCTTCTCTTCAATCCCAATTAGCAGTAAGTGAAAAATCTCTGAGCTCAGACTGTTCTCCTAATACCAGGACTTGGGGAGAACACGAGCAACCCGAAATGACCTGGAACCACTGGAATGACTGAGATTTTTGGGAGTGCCTTGAATTTGGTACTGGGAATTTGTAGTGGTGTGCTGTGGTGCAAATGTCATGCCTGTGACGTGTGGAGGTGCAGGTGTGAACAGTGTACGAAGAAGTGGGAAACAACAAAGAGTCTGAGGGGCCCCAAGGAAGCCCCTCCTAAATGGGAAGAATGAACTTGTGGTTGGAAGCTGCACCTCAGTACCAAGTGCTGTTAGAGAACATTCTGCACATCCAGAAAAAGTCCTCTGCCCTCCCTGGCTGGGTACATTCTGTCACCCACATTTCTGTTCCTCTTTTCATGACAAGCCCATACCTTGCCTGCGTAAGCTTGCTTGGCAGGATCAAATTGTGGCGACTGCTTCGATTTGCTGCTTCCTAAAGGAGAGAGGAGAAGCTGTCACTAAAATTTTCCATAAAGAACAATGAATTCCACAGTGTTCCTCTGATGATACGGAGGTTTTGTTGCAGTCTCCCACACAGTACAGCCCAGAACAGTCTCCTAAGGACAGGAGATGCTTCTGAATAGGTGCTTCTTACAAAGGAGTCCAATCTCCTTTGCCTCCTCGTTCCCAAGTCCAATTAAACAGATGACTTGCTCTATAAGGAAAAGAAACAAAATCCAAACCCACAACTCACTTGGCCAATAGTTTCAGGATTTGTTTCCAAACCAGAAGGGATGCTGAAGTGTGTACATTCCTTGAGTCAACTTCTTCAAGTGCTTCCCCACTGTACGTAAGTGCATTGTAACAGTCTGTACTGCCTCGCCACCCACATTCCCACAAACCTTCTCCAGGCTCAGCTGGCAACGTTTTCCACAGCCTGCAGCACCCTAAGCAGGGGATCAGATCTTACCTGCAAACACTTTGAAGTTGGACTTGCTGTAATCAAAGGGGGTAAACTGCTTCGGTGCTTCCAGCTCCTCTGGTTGCTGGGGGGGTTTTGGCCGTTTCTTCTCCTGTGTTGGCAGCTCCGCTCCCGTCTCACTCGTGTCTCTTTCCCTCTTCCTATTAGCTTGTTCCTGCTGGGAAAGCAACCCACAGAAGGGAGAAAAAGGACAAGTTCAGGAGAGGAGAATGAAACACCCCTGCACAAGCACCAGTGGGCAGATGAACTGCCCAGCAGAGCCAGGTTTCAGGGACAGCTCCTGCCTGTGGCAGTAACAGCGTGGGGAGAAAGCTCTGTGCTCTTCCTGGGGCCTAAACTGCTTTGTCTTTTTTCCTCCTCACAATGCAGGGACTTCTGAGATAAAAAGCCAAGCTGTCATTTCACAGGATATCAGAGGCTGAGACCTGCTGTGGCCACACTGGCAGATTTGGGGGAGCCTATGTGGAACGTTAGGAGGAGGAGCAGAGGTGCAGCAGTGGAAAAAATTCCCTAGTGAGCCCACAGGAGGATGTGACAGTGTGTGCAGCACAGTTAGCAGGGGCCTGTTGTTACACCCAGGGCAGCACCACTGCCAAAACACTGTCATTGAGGTGTTCCAGAGTGACAGGGCTCAGGGTTTCATTCACTCTGAACTGCTGTAACAGTCAGGATGGGCAAAGGCTGGAAGGAGGGAATTCCATGACATACCATGGCTTGCTGACGAACAGACACAACGTTCTGTGCTGCGTTTTTATGCAACTTCTGTGCCTGGGCACGGGCAGCTATGGAGACAAACAAGTATTACTGTAAAAAGCAGCAGTAAGTTAGCCAGGAGCTTGGAAAAAGCAAGCAAAGCAGCAAGTCTCAAACTAAATACAGTATAAACATTACCAAAGTACAGCATTTATCAGGAAATCCATCACCTACAGGAAACAACCTATGTGCATTGGGAAAAGCATGCTGGCACACACCCTGAGGAAGGGAGGAATGGCTGTACCTGACTCCTGGGCTGCTTTTTTACTGATTTCATTCTTGGGTTTCTTCTGTACCGATGCCTGACTCATCAGCTTCCATCGATTGCTGATCTGCAATGAGAAAGTGTTACCTGGAACCACTTCCTTTGAAGTTTTATGGCAAAAGGGAGTTTATAAACTTGCTTCCACATGCTGGTCTTCATTCAGAGTACAAAAGATCAAACTGGATGGTAAAAGAGACCAAGATCTGCTGCACCAGGTGAAGTAAAACCAAGTGCTTTAAAAGCTCTCAGCTACAAACAGGCCATGAGAACAAAGGCAGATACTTCAGGAGTTGTATCTTTGACAGACAGGGACTATATAGAGGAATATCTCCAATCCTGGTTCTCCAAAGAATACAAATGCCACAGAAACATGCAAAGTTTCTCAAGAAGTACCCAAGAAGAAAAAAAAATATTATTTTGCTGAGGGTCCCAATGCAAAACAAACTAGTTATTTGTTTCTTTTGTACCACCTTGCAGGCTTTTTTAGCACGAGCCTTACCTCATAAATTTTTGATGATGGGTCAAACTTTGCAGACTGTGAGACATAGGCAGAATTCTCCTCTGGAGGCAGGTACTGCAGAGAGGAAAAAAACCATTTTGCTCTAAACACAGCACATGACATTTATCTCACTGCTAAAATGCTGCTTGTTGTAGATCAGTAAGTTCATATTTAAGAAGCATTCTGTAGATGGAACACCTTGTGGAAGAAGAGAAATTACTGCAGCTACGCCCAAGAGAAATAATTAAGAAAAAACAACTGAAAAAAGCCCCACAAAACCAAAAAAACCCCAACAAACCAAGCCTCAACCGCACACCAGAAAATGTTGATTTGATATTATTTCCTAGTAATTTGCCACTACAAATCTGTAGCAGTACTCTATTGTTCTTCTGATTCATTACAGGAGCAAAATCAGCTCACTAACTCCAGCCATAAAGCAGAGATGAAAATGTGATGCAAATTTCAAAAACCTCAAACTTGATTAAAAAAACCAGAGAAAGGTCTATTTACTAAGTAGACTTATATCCAAGAGGCATTTAAATGTGTTTTGAAAACAAGTCCACACGGGTCTTTGCAGGAAAGACAACCCCTTGATTCCAGTAAGAGAGTAGCTGATGCTCTATCAAGCTCTTTAAGATACACCTGAAAAAAACAGCTCAGGGCATTCTCTGCACTGGGTATTTTGTGAGTCCCACCACAAATATGTATTGGGAGCTTTTACCATTTTAAAAGGATTTTCGAAGGACTCCATTATTAGCTGAGCTTTCCTCTGTGCAGTGGTTAAAGGCCTCTTATTTCCTTCATCTCCATCGCTTTCCTTAAAAGAAGAAAAGAAAAAAAAGAAATATTAACACCAATATTCTCTTGGTTTGGCTACTGCTGTTGGTCACTCTGAACCCCCACTGAGAGCAGTGACCCTCCAGAGACATTTAACTTGCTGACCTTCTAACCCAGCTGTCTGGGTTGTGCCACACACCTGACAGGAGTCAGTGCCATTGCCAGGCACGTCCCTCCTTACGGTTTCTTTCAACACTTCCACACAGTTTTATCAGATTATGAAGTCTGTTTTCTAATACTTGAATACTGACACTCACAAACATGCTGCTTACACTGAATATGCTGACAGTGGCAGTAGCAACAAGACATGCTGGCTCTGGCTGACTATCTTGAATATTTGTTGTCCTCTCACTGTCTGAGAAGAGACAAGAATCTTCCAAAACTGGTGCAGGCTCTGCATGAAAAGGAGACAAAATTTTTATTAGATACTTGTGTATTTTACTGCTCTCCTGTGTAATGAGATTCCTCTGCAAGTTTTTTCAGGGCCATTCATTTCCTCCATGTCAAAGCCCCACCACTGCATTATTAGCACAGCTTTCAGGTTAACTCTAAATTACCCAAGGCAGAGTTGTTCTGGAAATCATCCATAGGAATCCGTGAACTGTCGTGTGGTCCAAAGAGGGCATTCTCCAGCTTCTGCAGGGAGATTCAAATTACAAACACCATTAATACACTATGAATCCATGGTTTCACATACTGCAGACACTTAGACAGAAATTCAAATGACAGGGTGAAATTCAGAGGTGGAATATTCTTACTGTAGCTCACCTGCCAGAGCACATTGCACCTGGCATCAAAAGGCTCCCTATGCAAACTCCATTAATACTGGTTAATGGAGACACTTTACTTCATACACGAGGAGAAGGAACGAGTCAGCCTCATAAACTCATCTGAAACCTCTCTTCTTACAGCTCAGTCAATATATTTTAACACATATGAAACTGTCCAGCAGCCAGAGTGTTTGCTGATACAGCCTTAAGTGCTGCTTTATAGTGGTTTGTAAAACACCAATTTACAGCTGGTGATGTTATGAGTCTAGCACAGAAAACGAACATTAAGCTAAAGCAGAGACCTGTAAAAGGGATGAGATAAGCAACTTACTAGAGAGAATTTTGCTACATTAGGTTCCAAGTTTAAGGCTGAAGACATTAAGTAAAAATACCATGTAAATAATACCTCAGGGGTGGGTAGAGATGCTCTCTTCTTGACAGTCGAAGTAATCTCCGACTAGAAGGGGAGAGAAAAGTAAATTACTTAAATGTACCTGCCCTGTTTCTTCTAGGTTGGCCTCCTTATCAACGTTTCCAACACATTTATTACAAGCTAGCAGTTAATAAAATCACTTTCTTCTCCTGCAGTGTTTGCACTTGGCTATATATTTAAACACCTTGCAGAGAAAGGACACACTCTTGCTCACAAGTGTTTTTGTTTCACTACAGGAGGAAAACTGTATTAGTATCACCATGCTGATGTTGCATTTGGACTAATGAATCTCTTGCAGCCAGGGCTGTTTTTGTTTGCCTCACCATAGCTGTAAAAGATTTACGAGTCTGTTTACACGGCCACCAAATTCCACAAGGTGCAGTTCCTCCTCACGCAGGCAAACGTGATGTGCAGTGTCAGACAGACAACTGCCCCCTGTTCAAGCAGTGTCTGCTCGTTTGCTGCTCCAGTTCTGCAGGGAACCACACTGCCTGGAAGCCACCAAACAGCTCACAGGCAAGGAGTTGCAGTGGATCTTTCAGCTCTACTGCAGAGCACCACATTCAGCATCCAAACAGCAAACTTCAGCACACACATCACCTCAGGTCAGCACTCAGCCCCAGCCCCAGCTGAGGGAAAGCCAGTGATGAGTCTCCTGTGTGGTACCAGCTACTCCTACCTTGACAAGAGGCATCTCCCGGGCCTGCTGAATGAGCAGATGCAATTCATTAAGCTGCTGGCGAACGAGGGGTGGGACGGGATTACAGCAGGCAATGATGCCCTGGGGTTCTCTAAAGAGAGAGGAGGAAAACTCAGTGTGCTGTATTTATGGGCAATATGTCAGGTATTTGCATTCCAAGGATGTGCAATGGGACATAACCACGGTCCTGACGGTGACAGAGCAAGACAAGTCAGATTAATCTGTCAAAGTTTATTCTCTGTGATAAAATTCTTCTGTATCAGTTTGTGCAGACAAGGAGAAGCCATTAAGTCAGCTCTCCTCTCATTTAACTTTTCTGTGGCCTGACTCTCCTCACCATCATTTCATTCAGCACTCACCTATGAAAGCTGAGCCCAGCAGTGGGCCTGCCTGTAACGATGCATTTTTATAAGTCTCAAGTACGGCTGTTGGATGATGAGTGCCAAGTGGCTGAGGAAAATGTTGTGGAAATTGGGCATTTTAAGGGATCTGCCCCTTGCTCTTCCCAACCCTCTAGGAAGTGCAAAAAACCCCCAAATAAATGCTATGGGGGAACTCATCCCTCTCTTGCTCTGTGATAGTCTGGGAATCTCAGGGGGAATTTGTGACACAGAGCAATGCAAAGAAATGTGGTTTATTAGTGGAATAAAATCAGAGATGTATCCCAGAAGTCTGGAGCCTTCCAAAGAGCATTGCTATTTATTCCTCTTCCAAACTGAACAACTATAGAGAAAAGCAGTACTGACAGCTGGAAGGAAGGGACCAACTGCAGAAGTCATTACACATTAGGAAGTAACTTGCTGGACATTAAAATCAAATAAGACTCCTTCAGGGTGAACAGAACTTACTTGGGCAGCTCCTCTGAGATCTTCAACAGCATATGATTTGGTAGCACATACCTACAACACAAAGAGGCGGTGTGAATGTAACAGAACGTTAAAAACACTCAAAAATACCTCCAGAGTGCACAACCCTGCCCCAATTACAAGGTCTGAGAAGACGACATCAGTTAAAAAGAAAAGAAATTAAGTAGGACTGATCTAGATACCTGTAAGAATTTAACAGGCTGCTAATGTAACAGGACTTCTGAGTAACAAGCAGCCTGAGGCAGTACAGTGATTTCCACAAAGTGGTTCCACCTCAGGGGTGGAAGGGGCACAACCCAAGAGATTTACTGAAGTATTAAGCCATTGTCCACAACAACAGATTTCCTACCCTGTGCTCTCGTCCTCCTGACGTGCTATCTTGTCCCTCCATGCAAACAGCAACCTAAAAGCTGCCAGCTGCTGGGTGTCGAGGTGTTTTTTCTGCCTCCTGTAGAGCTCAAGGTAGGATTCATCTGTGAAGAGGGGCTTGATGTATTTCTGGACAGGAAAAAAAACCCACTCATGGTAAGTATTGGATTTGGGCTTTCCAGTTTGCCTTGCTCCACTGAGACAGAGAATCTCACACGGACATCAGGGGACTGAAATGCACTCTGGTATAATGTGCCTTGAGCTTTTATCCTAAATGATTGCTAGGAGCCTATTCCTGAGGAACATACATCTCATCCATTTTTAGGGGAAAACCACCCTCATGAACTCCAGGAGGAGCTTCAGTATCTTTAAGCTTCACTGTATTACACAAGGCCTATTTTCACAGACAGTATTTTCCAGGCACGATGTAATTGTCTCATAAGGCAACTCCAGCAAGGCTTTGAACTTCTAGAACACCCAGCAGAAGTGGAAATGTAACATCTCTCTTGGAAAAGACACACCTGAATGCACTGTGAGACCAAGCAGTACTAACACTCAAAAAAAAAGCAGGAAGGCACCTGAATCCAAGGCTTTTAGCTAGTGAAACAAGTGACTGGCAGAGTTTATACAGCTGATTTCAGACACACAAAGAGGAGAAACAACCTGTGTTTATGTAAGAGAGCAGAGTAGGCAAAGGACCTTCTGTCCTAAGCCCGTGCTCTGATGCAGGTAATCCAGGCAGGTGAAGCTTTACCTTCAGGCAGATGTTCCTGCTGCGCTGCCACACAACCTGCAGCTGCGTGGGCTGCTCGTTCCCTCTCTCCCACAGCAACTCCCTCATTTTATCATAGATGTAGAGCAAGTAGTGAGTGTCATCCCGGGCATACTGCATCATTTCTTCTGGCAAAGGGCTAGAAAAAGAGCCACAGTTGCATTAACACGTTTCAGTTGTCCCACCAAAGTGTCACTTTCCTCTTGCAAGGCATATTAGCGCAAACTGGACACGAGACATGCCAAGAACTAACACGGAAATTCTTCTGTTTCCTTGCTGAGGGATTTGTTGGGTCACAGCAGTAACGTGCTGTGCCCTCTCCAAGTCATCTTGCTCACAGTCCTGCCAGAGAGCAGGACTGCCCTGCAGCCAAGTCAGATGGCAGAAGTGCTTGCTGTGGCATTTGAAATAACTCTGCTCTCTCTGCAGAGCCTCCATAAAGTAGATTTAGGATCTCTGTGGTGTGCAGGGTGCACCTGCACAGCCCAAGCTCCCTGCTCCAACAGCACCTTGTACAGGTGACAATGTTTTTGTGGGGGCTCTGGGGAGCAAATACAGACTTGTCTCCATCACAGTGCAGCAGTTAAACACTGTTCCTAAGAAGTGAGCTCTCAGAAGATTTTCTTCCCAAAATAACTCATTTTCCAAAAACATGGGGAAATGTTAACACCCAGAAACTTAAGGCACAGCCAAGGTAAATGCTGTGCTCACTCACTTTGAGACTAACCTATAACTACGGGTCTTGCAACTAGAAGCTCTAGCAATGCAAACAAGGAGAAAGAGCTACCTGGCAGCTCCAGCCCATTTAGGAGTCAGTTTTTACCGTATCCTCCAGTCAGCCAGCTGGTACTTCTTGTCAGCATCTACGCTGCAATACAGCTTTAGCAGGTGTTCCAAAGAATGCCTGCCAAGATTGAGGAGGCGAGCAGCTTGGTGAGTGTCAAACACGTTCACCAAGTACAGACCAAAGTCTCTTTGCAGCCATTCCACGTCTGAATCAGCACCATGAAGGACCTTGAGAAGTAAAACAAGGTGGGAATGATACAAAGAACATTTCTACTCCAGGCTGGTGGTGCTGTGTTTTCATATTCATGTGTCTAGGACCAGATTTCTTTTCTGTGTCCTTTACTGTTAAGTACAGAACTACTAAATGGGTGCAATTGGCAAGTAATTCACCACTTACACTAAGGAAAGAAGTCCATGAACAAATCAAAGCGAGAGCAGAGCCAAGTGACCAGGACAGCACACAGTGTGATTTTAAGTATAATAAAGCTTAAACTAAACCAATAACAATAATAAAAAAAGGAACTGTGGTGAGTTTGGCAGCTGACCTTCACAATGGCAGGGTCTGTGAAGGTCTCATTGAGGATGTTCAGGTCGCTGCGCAGCTCCAGGGCATCGATAATGAAATCTTCTGTTCGAGTGGAAATCTGCATCAGGCATGTCAAGCCCAGGAAGCTCCTGTAGGAATGGTGCTGAAAATGGGGAAGAGAGGTGTAAACTAGGATTCATTACAGAAGTAATGCTATAAAACAAATGGCAACCCCAAATGAAGGAAGAAAAGGACTTCTTTAAGAGAAAAGACAACTGAATAATCAAACTTTCTTTTTGCAGTCATTAACATGACATAAAAAAACCATGGGATGAATTGAAAGAAGATCAAATTCAGCTAGAAGTGGGCAGCCAGTCCTACCATTGGAAAACTTGTAATATTGACACAGTTTAATTCAACTTTATATCTGACGGATCAGGGTCATGAACTTTCTTTTCATGTCAGAAACTACAAAAAAGGAGAAAACCACAAAACAGACTAGAAGAATATAATGGTCTCTTAGGTCCTAAAAGTACATGTGTAACTTAAGCAGAAAAGGGAACTTGATTACCTCTAAATCCAGGGCAAATTCTTTACAGTTCATAAGCTTTTCATTTAGTTCTACCAGCTCATCCAGTGTGGTGATAAAATGACAGGGTGTTTCCTCCATGGGCCTGTACATCTGGCAGAGCACATGGATTAGGCATGGTATGTTCTCTGTCAACTCCCACCCCGACCTCCACCCTCAGATCTGAAATTTGTCAAGTATGGCTGTAAATGCACTGCATCTGCAGCTGAAAATTAGCGTGGGCACCAACCTGGAGTTCTGGTTTCTTGAGAACTCCATCTGGTGGAGAGAAATGCTCCAGTTCATACTGGTAAGGATGGGCAAACCTGTGGAAATCAGGAAGATAAGCACAGGCTAAATCCCAGCCGCCTTTATGAGGCCAGAGCACAGAGACTTTGACACCTATGGTAGTTTCCCTACCCAGCAGAAACGCTGCCTCTTATTAAGCACAGGTTTAATGTGACTGCAGAGGCCTAAAGCAAATCACACACAAGGTAGTGTGGGCACAAACACATGCAGAGCTGCCACACGTGACGAGCACCAGCGCAGAGGGAGCACACGGGCGCAGGCCCACCCGTGGGGCTCCCAGCACCTCGCTGCCAGGTTCATTTCTTACATGTCTTGCTCAGTTTGCTGCGTCCTCTGCTGATGGATGAAGTCTGCCAAGGCAGCTGGCACATCCAAGTCCTCAGGGCGCTCCTTTCGCTGCCGTCCACTTTTTGTGAGGGCTGAACAACCAATATGGAATAACTGGACTGGGTCCCCCACATCACACCTCCTCAGCCTGCTACTCTCTCCCCTCCACCCACCACAAGATCCTATTAAAACCACGAAGTATCAAAAATCTTAACAATTTAAATTCACCCTGAATGACAACTCATGCTTAACAACTGTTAAGCATGACAACAAAGCGGTTCTGCTCAAAAGCTCGGAAGGAGATTGAAAAAATCTTCAGTTATTAAAAGCACAATGGCATCAGTGGAGATTATGGATGAACCATCAGCAGCAGAATGTTACCAAAACAGGGTGTTACACAGCGGCTCTGGTAAATCACCCAAAGCTAAGGTAGGTCTCCCCACACACCTCACTCATCTGAAAGAACATCTGTGAAGGCAACAGGACTGGGCAAGACTTCTGAGGCAAAAGTGACTCTCATGTATGTTCAGTGGTGGTAAAGAGCTATTTGTTTTTCGAGTCAATGATTTCTCCTCTAGACTGTGAGGACAGTGACAGGTTTGTGTCACATAACCTCAACAGGTCACCCAAGCAAAACAAACTCCTTACCTTCAGGCAAAGGTTTCAAAGCATTTGGCTTGATAAAAAGTTTAGGGACAAAGGGAGTGTTGGAGTTGTCAATCTTTTCCCGAAACTTAAGCTGTGGTCGAGTGATATTCTTGGCGTGAAGCAGCCGGAAGGTTTCAGACTGAGTTCTCTTGTGGAATTCTCCTGCCTATTTAAAAAAAACACAGGTAAAATTCACATGACTTAACAAACATTCAGCATTTTTCCTACTCAGCCTGACCCAACGTTCAGAGAAATAAAGATATACTCTACACTCAAAACTGAGTTACTTTTTCTCAGCAAGTCCAGAGTTCTCTGAATCAGGATCCTGAATCCATAGGAATAAGCACAAGAAAGGCTGTTGTGTACATGACACTGAAATGGCAATTGAAAGCACAGAGAATCCAGAATCAAGTCTGAATGAACAGGAAAAGGAAAAAAAGAGGGAGGGACTTAGAATGTGTGAAAAAACATGAGAGAATATTTAACTACTACACTCCACTGGAGAATCAGCAGTGCCAAGGCTGGGAGAACAGCTGAGCTAACACAGCAAACTGAGCAGAGGGGCCTCACCTTGCGGTTCCAGCTGGAAACGATCATCTGTGGGGGCTGTAACCCAGCTGGCAGCACTGGCTGCTGGTTTCTGTTCACTCCGGATGCTTCATCCAATAAAATACTCTAAACCCCAGAAAAGCAATGTGAAACACCTGTTAAATTACCACACTCAGCCACTTTAGTCACTGAGCAAAGACATTCACACAGGTAGGTACCTCCACAGCCATTTCCCCCAAATTCTGTGCAACACTAGACAGACAAACGTGGGAGGAGCACGCTGGACATCAAGGGTAGGAAGAGTTTCCTCAGAGAAGCAGCTCTAAAATGTACAGACCTGTTCTCAGGTTGTGAGGGTTTCATGCCAAACTGTATTTAGTTTCCTCACAAGTCACATATTGCAGTCCTGGCCCATAACCCACCTGCCCCAGCTGCTGGGAGCTCTGGCCCAGCACACGGAGGGGGTTTTAAAATAAAGGAAAACACCAGACTGAGGAAACACCAACTGTAACTGTGAAAGCACCACCACTAAAATTCTTGCAATGAAAAAAAGTTATGGGAACTGAACAGTTTATAAGAACCACATGCAGAAATGATTTGCTTACCACTCTTTCTAGAATGACATCGTTGGAGTCAACCAGCAGATCAAATTTGTCTTCCAGCCCTGTCACTTTGCTGGAATCTTTCAGGAGGCTCCGGCAGCCGTGGTACTGCATCACCTGGCTCATGCTTGCAAGAGAACAGCACAACTGTCAGCAATCTGTGAGCAGGCAAGCCCAACCCTAGAACATCCAGCTTTCTTCAACTTCCTACACTTGAAAGCTTGAAAATAAATCAAATGGTAGACACCATCGCGTGAGCAGTGAATAGGAGGAGCACCTATACAGTATTAAGTGCCAGAATTAATTTCTCACAAACCACATGACGACTTTTTAAAAAGGACAGACCCGTGTGTTTGGTGTCAGCTGCTCCTGCCACAGCTCTTCACAGCACTCACAATGGAAGGGGTTAGAAAAGCACAATAAACCCCCCCCCCAGAGGAGGGGGCTGCGTGCTGGGGGGTGGGGAGGGGCAGCAGGCCCTTACCAGCGGAGCAGGCGGTCTCCCTGCGTGTCGCAGTAGGCGCGGAAGCCGGGGAAGCTGCGGTAGAAATCGTACTCGTCGCCAGGCTGGGGGAGCCCATTGGACGCCTTCGTCGCAGCCACCACTGTGCCCAGGGCGTACTGTGCAAGAACACCACGTTATCAGCACTTTGTTCCCGTTTGCCCAGCACACCCTGTGAGAGAAGCGCGTTCTGCCTGGCTGGTTTGAGCTGAGTGGTTCTGTTGGGTGGTATGGCGGGGCTTTTCACCAAGAGTAAGTTCATGTGGTCTATTTAGAGAACTTCAAATGGTTAAAGTCTATGAGCAGGATCTGTAACTCAGTCTAGTATTACAGATCTGACCTGAAGTTGTGTCAGGGCAGGGTTAGGTTGGATCTCAGGAAAAGGTTCTTCCCTCAGAGGGTGGTTGGCACTGAACAGGCTCCCCAAGGTTTGGTCACAGCTCCAAGGCTGCCAGAGCTCCAGGAGGGTTTGGACAACACTCTGAGGGACAGGGTGGGATTGTTGGGGTGCCTGTGCAGGGCCAGGAGTTGGACTGGATGATCCTTGTGGGTCCCTTCCAGCTCAGGATATTCTGTGATTCTAAATCAGCAGGAACGTCCCTAACGACTTTATTATTTTAACAAAAACACCCCTAAACGCTGCAACGCTTCTTTCTTGGGAACTGGCGGCCGCTCCCTCTCTGGAAGCAGCACGGTGCACACGTGAAACACACCGGGACTGACGCTGCCATCTGTAACGCCAGGGGAAGCAATGCCCGTGGCCACAGCCCCCCCGAGGGTCCCCAGGAACTGCCGGTGGGTGACAGGACCGGGGCCCTGTACCAGGGCGGTAACAGGCCCCGACACATCGCTCGGCCCCCGCGCCCGCCGGCCCGGCCCGCAGCCCCCCTCCCGCGCAGAGGGGCTCCCCGCAGCCGTCCCCGCTCGGGTGAGGGTCCCCCCGCAGCCCCCGCGGGGCCGGACTACAGCTCCCGGCATGGCCCGAGCGCACGCGCACGCCCCGCTCCCCTCCCCCCCGGGCTCCCCAGCGCACCTTGACGAAGGCGTCGGGGCTGTCGAAGCCGGGCAGGGCCGGCATGGCGCTGCCTGCCCCGCTGTCCGCGGCCGTCCCGGCGCCGCCAGCCCGCCCCGCCGGGCTCCCCTCACCCACGGCGGCCGCCATGCTGATGCGCGAAGCTGTCGCGAGAACAGGGCGCTCTCGCGAGAGCGCGGTGCCGGGAAGGGGCGGGGGGAAGAGCGGAGGGGAGGTGCGGGTGGCGCCCCCCAGCGGCGGGAGGGGACCAGCCCTCTGTGGGATGAGGGGACACTGAGGGGGGACATTGGGGGGGGAGATTGAGGGGGGGACATTGAGGGGGACACTGAGAGGGGACATTGAGGGGGGACATTGAGGGGGACATTGAGGGGGACACTGAGGGGGACACTGAGGGGACACTGAGAGGGGACATTGAGGGGGACATTGAGGGGGACATTGAGGGGGACATTGAGGGGGGACATTGAGGGGGACACTGAGGGGGACACTGAGGGGGGACACTGAGGGGGACATTGAGGGGACATTGAGGGGGGACATTGAGGGGGACATTGAGGGGGACATTGAGGGGGACACTGAGGGGGGACACTGAGGGGGGACACTGAGAGGGGACATTGAGGGGACATGGGGGGGACATTGAGGGGGACATTGAGGGGGACATTGAGGGGGACACTGAGGGGGACACTGAGGGGGACATTGAGGGGGACACTGAGGGGGACACTGACTGGAGGGGACACTGAGGGGGACAGGAGGAGGGGACATTGAGGGGGACATTGAGGGGGGACACTGAGAGGGGACACTGAGGGGGGACATTGCGGAGGGGACATTGAGGGGGACACGGAGGGGACACTGAGGGGACACGGAGGGGGACACGGAGGGGACACGGAGGGGGACATTGAGGGGACACGGAGGGGGGACATTGAGGGGGGACATTGAGGGGGGACATTGAGGGGCACCCCCAGAGCTACAATGGGGGAGACACCGCCCCTGCCTCCCCTCAAAAGCACTACCAGGGACCCACAGAATCACAGATTGCTGAGTTGGCAGGGGCCCACGAGGATCATTGATTCCAACTCTTGGCCCTGCACAGACACCCCAGTAATCCCACCCTGCCCCTCAAAGTGTTGTCCGAATGCTCCCGGAGCTCTGGCAGCCTCGGGGCCGTGCCAAATTTCGGGGTCCTACGGTCAAGTTTCTGGTATACAAGTGACAGATTTCGTTCAGTCTTGGTAATTTTGCTTCCAGCTGCCATCAGAAGGGAAATAAAGCCTGAACTGGTGCACAAAGAGACAAGTCAATGGCAATAGGAACCTTAAAAGAAAAAAAAAGAATCTTAATCCGCTTCCCTGTCTCTGCCTAAGAAATACTTAAGAATAAACAGGAACACAGCCAAAGTCTTTACATTTCGGTGTAATTTATTGGCACAAAAATATTCAAATACAACATGGCATCTAAACATGGCTACTCTGTTGTATTTTGTGCATTGTTTTTAATATGTTTAATTCATAAATCATAACTTTATCTTCACCCTCACATTTAATAACCATTATTTTCTGCTTCAAGTTATGACCAGTTCTCCCCCCCTTCTGCCTCCTATGCCAAGCCCTAACTTTCCCGAGTTATTTCCCAACACTGCTTTTTAACCCGGACACTGAGGGAAGCTCCCAAGTGGTATTTATTTGTACCCTGCACTCAGTTTGCCACGGATCACTCTGCACAGAGGCACCGACTTCGCTCACCTCAAGGTCTCCAAACCTTGACATCCTGCTCTAATCTGAAACACGACTCCTGCATGAATGTGATGAGCAGATAGGCAATTTCCAATTTAGGGGCAAGAACTGAGTTTGAAAACAAGGTACAGGATGAAACAATGGTAAAATTCTGCTTCTCTTTCCAGTTATCCGGCTCACCCCCAAACGTAAATGAAACCTCCCGCACAAGCGCGTTGAGCTCGCTGCAGCCACATCAACAGGAATGACCAGGGCAATAATTCATCTGCAAGTGACTTAGTTACATTGCAAAGTAAGTCAAAACCCGTATATAGTTATTTTCAATGGATCACCAGTTCCCCAAAGACCAAGTGGAACCATAGACATCTGTGGTACAATCAGTCTTCACTGTCCTGGAAACCCAAATCAAGTGTTGTGTTTCAGACAGCTTGTTTGTTTTTGTTTTTTTTTTTTTTCCAACAGCAGCTATACATTGGCTTAAACCAACTTTTAATATACAATAACTCTTTTTCATTTACATTTAAAAATATTTGACAAAGGCTGTATTTCAGTCCAAGGTTCAGTTTGTGTTTGTAGAAGAGCAAGTTTGGAGCGCAAAAGCCTCCAGAATAAAAGGCTGTGGATACTTTGGAATCTTCCATTACCAGAAAGGACACCTAAAGAAAATAAAGATATTGTAATAATGCTGACTTGCATGGAGTTTCACAAAGGCAACACTGAGAAGGACTGAGATTCCATACTAACTAGGCACTAATTCAGCTTAGGGAAAGTTGCCAGCCCCCAATGCTTCTTTCCTGCTAAAGTTTAAAAACAACAGAGATCTATTTTGCCCAGCATAGTTCAAAGTTAGCTAACCCTCAACATGACAGTAAAAATAAGCAGTATAAATAACACCTGACTTCTTCACTGTAACTGAAACCAGTGACCAGCACATTCCTTATTTCAAACACTTAAAATGATCTAAAATCCCCGTCACTACTTATAAAAGAGCTGTCTATGGCATCGCTGTCATGACTGCAAAAATCTACCAGAGCAGATGCAGGACGTGCTAAAGCTCCTACAGATAACTAACCACACAATTAGATCATTCCAGAAGAGTTTTGCCAGCTCAGCTGAGTGACAAACTCACCATCCAATGTAGCACTGGCACAGGTTCTCGTGAGAAGTCGCTTGTTTAATGAGCAATTCCACTTGTGTGGGGACATCCAGAGTTTCGTCATGAGAGAAGTCCCGACCTGGGAAATTAAAGGGTGAAAAAAACACATCAGTGAAGTCACAAATCCTGGTTCTAATCCCTTCAGATACATTATTTGGCAGGTGAGGGGTACTTTCATATTAATTATAATTATAATTATAATTATAATTATAAAGAATGTAAAATTTTGCAACTAAATGCTGCAAACTATAAAGCCAGGAGAGTAGAAATTCAACTTCCACTAAACAAGCTAAGACATGCAAGTCTGTGCAGTTACAAACACCTCTGTCCTTTTCAAATCAGGCTCATTTCAAACACCTCTGTCCTTTTCAAATCAGGCTCATTTCAAACACCTCTGTACTTTTCAAATCAGGCTCATTTCAATCTAAATGCAGGCACCAGTCCTTGGGTGTTAGACAAGAACAGGAAATGGCCTCATCCACCTAATCAGAATATGTTAAATTCAAGGATTAACATAAAATACAAACACTAAGGGTAGTGCTGATCCCTCTCATCAGGTTTTATGTTTATTTTATATAACAGAAAAACATGCTCACCAGTGAGCTTATCTCGAACCCTGTTGATGATCTGAATTGCCTTCTTATTTAGAGCTTCTGGTTTCACCAGACCATCTCCTACTGAAGGACAGAAACAGGAAAGGGAATTAGGACTTCACCTGAGCAATAAAAGCATTTGTACTGCTGTTAGATGTGCCCTGCCCAAATGCCACTTTGACAGCAAACCTAGATGCATTTTCTATCACCTTTTTGTTGGGAGTTGAGAACACAGGTAATTATATTCCTCATTTATGCTGACAAGGAACTGCATCTGCTCCAACTCATGTAACGGCATTTGGATCGTGATGAAATTTTCTGTCTCATAATAATTTATGCATTAGTATAGAAACAACAATGAAACTTACTGAAGGAATGGATTGATTCAGGCACTGTGGTCCCAGTTTTTTTATGGGATGTCTCACCCAGTTCCACGCTGTCCAACATTTCTATGGAAAAAACCCACAAAAACATAAACGCGACGTTGAAAAGCAGCTAAAATGTTCTTCCAGAAACATTTACAAAACTGTTAATCAGCTCATTTAAAAGCATAATTGTGACATCCACCATCTTTCCTACTCACCCACTGACTGACTGGCTGAGTAGGAGTCTGTCCTTGTTCGTGAGCGCTTATTGCCCTTTGTGTTTGCTGCAAGAAAATAAGGAGTTGAAAGGCATGAACTGGAGTTTCAGAGCAAATCTGTCAACAAACAATACAGATTTGGCTGCCTTTCTCCTTCTCCAGATTTGATGCCACATGAAAATAATTTCAATCTCCCGATCTCTGTTGCAATGTCATATTAAAATCCTTAAAGCTGCACCCAGAAATAGCACATGGAAATGAACCATTTCATCAGAATTTTTTCAGATAGACATTGAATTTCAAGCTTCTGGATTTTTTGTATGAAATCAGATGGATCCCTCTCTCGCAGGCAGTGTTTTCTCAGAGCCACTTACTGTCCATCAGCCTCCAGTTCAATAAGGGATCATACACAAAGGCTTCCAGCACGGCCATGACGCTGTCCTTGTGTTCCCGCAGCACTTCCATCACCGTGTGACACGTAATCCTGTAGTTGCCATCGAGGCCTGTCACCTTGGGAAGATAGAGAAGTGAATCCCCCACTGCTTCGTTCACTGTGCAACTCCAACCCCGACATTCCGGGAGCAAGAAGTGGCTTTGAGCTGTAATTCACTGTGCTTACAGAAAATGCAGCTGAAATATCAACACCTCTGGTTCTTAAGGTGTGGAGAAGTTTAGCCACAACAGAAAACAGAGGAAAAACTGAGATTTGGGTGGCATTTTCCCCAGGAACAATCCCCTCCATGTTAAAGGGGAGATGCTTACCTCCATAGCATTTGTCAGCATCCTTGTTAACCTAAATGGAATCTTCTCAGGGAACTTTTCTCTTGTCATTGCAACCTAAACAGATGATGATGGAGAATCAGTCAATTAATAGCTAATTTAGTCTTTAAAAGTTATTAAGCATAGGGATCTTTTTGGCACAATCTTGAAGATTTTATTCCAAATAGGAAAAAAGTCACGGCTTTATGTTCCTCGGTTTCCACAAATTTTTGGGAGAAGCTACGTAAGTAACTCGATGGCAAAGGGAAAACTCAGCACATGCCCAGCTGCTACTCTCAGGTAACACAGACTGC